AAAAACCAGTCGGAGAACACTTCAATCTCTTTGGTCACTCGATTATAGACCTAAAAGTGGCAATTCTTCAACAAAAAAACTTCAAAAACAGACTCCAACGAGAGACTGCTGAATTGGAATTAATTTGCAAACTGGATACAATTAATTTAGGCTTAAATAAAGACTGGGAGTGGATGGGTCATTACACAAAGTAAAACTATTTCCCCATGTTTATTCCCGCCCCCCCTCCCGCCTCGCTGTTCCTCAGACGTTCTTGTCAACTGCTGGAAATGGCCCACCTTGATTATCACTACAAAAGGTTTTTCTTCCCCCCCAACTCCCGCTCTCCTGCTGGTAATAGCTCACCTTATCTGATCACTCTCGTTACAGTGTGTATGGTAACACCCATTGTTTCATGTTCTCTGTGTACATAAATCTCCCCACTGTATTTTCCACTGAATGCATCCGATGAAGTGAGCTATAGCTCACAAAAGTTTATGCTCAAATAAATTTGTTAGTCTCTAAGGTGCCACAAGTCCTCCTTTTCTTTTTGCGGATACAGACTAACATGGCTGCTACTCTGAAACCTGTGCTATATCAGGTTCTCCTTTTACATGACTGCAGAATCTTTGGTTCTCAAAACAAAATGGTGCTACCTTTGCATTAGCAAGAGATTTGAAATTTGTAAATGGATAGGTTTCAAATATGAAATACAACTCTTTAAATGTGTTTTATTCTCCAAGAAGTTTAAGTAGCCACTCTGACTCTTCCCAACAAACCCCTTGACTAGGGCTGGATTTGTGGTAATTCTGGTGGTTTAGGAACAGCTACACCAGCTCTCCATCAGCTGATAACTCTCCAACACTAATGGAATTCTCAGAGGACCAGATTTGGCTGCTTTCCAAACACTTCCTGCTACCAGAGTGATACTAAATGATTGGAACATAGGAGAATCTGACCTATAGGATGTATAGTTATTCACATATTGAACACTGAGTCTCATTCACAATCATGTTACATTACAAAAATTGTTGCACAGTCAGGGAAAACAATAAATTTTACTATAACACAATGGTATATAAGGCACAAATAAAAACGTAGGCAAATTGATTGCCTGGGTATCTAAATTAGCATGATTGGCAGAAAGTAATCAAACCTCATTCTATTAAGGTGGGATTCACCATCTGGTACTATTATATGCAGTCTTAAGAATATATTTGTTATCATGCAATCAGCATACAGTCTTTAAAGAAGTTCTTGTATTGTTATTCGTTTTGTGATTTTTCTTTTTGAGGAAGCTATGGCAAATAGCAAGGGAATTTGCTCTCTGCTTTAATCTCTCTAACTCACTGGTGTGCAACCTGCGGCCCACAGGCAGCCCATCAAGATAATCTGATTGTGGGCCGCAAGACATTTTGCTGCTGTTGACCGTCTGCAGGCATGGCCCGCCGCAGCTCCCAGTGGCTGCGGTTCACTGTTCCCAGCCAATGGGAGCTGTGGGAAGTGGTAGCCAGCACATCCCTGCGGCCTACCACTTCCTGCAGCTCCCATAGGCTGGGAATAGCGAACTGCAGCCACTGGGAGCTGCAGAGGGACGTGCCTGCAGACGGTCAATGTCAGCAAAATGTCTTGCGGCCCGCAATCAGATTACCCTGATGGGCCACATGCGGTCTGTGAGCTGCAGGTTGCCCACCACTGCTCTAACCAGAGTCACTTCTTGAGGTAGAGAAACCAGCTGGTTGTGTTTGAACTGAGCTCCATGAAGAGGGGAGTGTATGCAAGCAGTTTGTGACTAACTCTGTTCAAGGGCTGCTGTATATAGTTTAAAATAAGCAAGCTGTACTAAGAATATGCCTAGACAGCACATCACTGATTTCTTCTCCCACAAGGCCCTGACATCTACTACTGCTTCGTAGAGATGCAACAATACTGTGGCCTGTGGATCTCTGGGATTCTGTAGAGAGATGGCTATTCATAAGGTGCTAGTTCTTGTTTCTACCTGCTAAATTGCATTAAAGAGACAAGGTGGGTGAGGTAACATCTGTTATTGTACTAACTTCTGTTGGTGAATGAGACAAGCTTTCTGTGTAAGCTCAAAAGTTTGTCTCACTCACTGGCAGAAGTTGGTCCAATAAAAGATATTATCTCACCCACCTTGTCTCTCTAATATCCTGGGACCGACACAACTACGTCAACACTGCATACAAACTGCATTTCAGATAGATATAAATACAGTAGAATGTCAGAGTTACGAACACCTTGAGAATGGAGGTTGTTCGTAACTCTGAAATGTTCCTAATTCTGAAAAAAATGTTATGGTTGTTCTTTCAAAAGTTTACAACTGAACATTGACTTAATACAGCTTTTAAACTTTACTATGCAGAAGAAAAATGCTGCTTTTAACCATCTTAATTTAAATTAAACAAGCACAGAAAGTTTCCTTACCTTGTCAAATTTTTTAAAAACTTTTTTTAGTTGTGTACATTTAACACAGTACTGTACTGTATTTGCCTCTTTCTTTTTTTGGTCTCTGCTGCTGCCTGATTGCATACTTCCCATTCCAAATGAGGTGTGTAGTTGACTGGTCAGTAGGGCTGTCAATTAATCGTAGTTAACTCACACGATTAACTCAAAAAAATTTATCGCGATTAATCGCACTTATAACAATAGAATACCAATTTAAATGTATTAAATATTTTTGGATGTTTTTCTACATTTTAAATATTGATTTCAATTACAACACAGAATACAAAGTGCAAAGAGCTCACTTTATATTATTATTTTTGATTACAAATATATGCACTGTAAAAATGATAAACAAAAGAAATAGTATTTTTCAATTCACCTCATACAAGTACTGAATTGCAATCTCTTTATTGTGAAAGTGTAACTTACAAATGCAGATTTTTTTTTTTTGGTTACATAACTACACTCAAAAACAAAACAGTGTAAAACTTTAGAGCCTACAAGTCCACTCAGTCCTGCTTCTTATTCTGCCAATCACTAAGACAAACAAGTTTGTTTACATTGACTGGAGATAACTGCTGTCTGCTTCTTATTTACAATGTCACCTAAAAGTGAGAAGAGGTGTTTGCATGGCACTTTTGTAGCCAGCGTTGCAAGGTATTTACATGCCAGATATGCTAAACACCCATATGCCCCTTCCATGCTTTGGCTACCATTCCAGAGGACATGTTTCCATGCTGATGATGCCCCTTAAAATAACAATGTGTCAATTACCATTTGTGACTGTATTCTTTGTGGGGCGGGGGAGGGGAGAGGAGCGAAAGGTATGTCTCCTGCTCTGTTACACCTGCATTCTGCATATATTTCATGTTATAACAGCCTTGGATGATGACCCTGCACATGTTCATTTTAAGAACACTTTCACGGCAGATTTGACAAAATGCAAAGAAGGTACTAATGTAAGATTTCTAAAAATACTACAGCACTTGACCCAAGGTTTAAGAATCTGAAGTGCCGTCCAAAATCTGAGAGGGACGAGGTGTGGAGCATGCTTTTAAAAGTCTTAAAAGAGCAACACTCTGATGTGGAAACTACAGAACCCAAACCACCAAAAAAGAAAATCAACCTTCTACTGGTGGTATCTGACTCAGATGATGAAAATGAATATGCATCAGTCCCCACTGCTTTGGATTGTTATCAAGCAGAGCCCATCATCAGCATAGAAGCATGTCCCCTGGAATAGTTGTTGAAGCATGAAGGGACATATGAATCTTTAGAGCATCTGGCATGTAAATATCTTGCAACGCCAGCTACAACAGTGCCATGAATGCCTCTTCTCATTTTTAGGTGACATTGTAATCAAGAAGCAGGCAGCATTATCTCCTGTAAATTGTAACCAACCTTGTTTGTCTGAGTGATTGGCTGACCAAGAAGTAGGACTGAGGGGACTTGTAGGTTCTAAAGTTTTACATTGTTTTATTTTTAATGCAATTTTTTTGGTACATAATTCCGTATTTGTAAGTTCAACTTTCATTATAAAGAGATTGCACTACAGTACTTGAATGAGGTGAATTGAAAAATTTAATTTTTTTTTGTTTTTTACAGTGCAAATATTTGTAATAAAAAATAAATATAAAGTGAGCACTTTACACTTTGTATTCTGTGTTGCAATTGAAAGTAATATATTTGAAAATGTAGTTAACATCCAAAATATTTAAAATAAATGGATTCTATTGTTGTTCAACAGTGCGATTAATCGCAATTAACTTTTTTAATCATGACTTCTAATTGCTTGACAGCCCTACTGGTCAGTTGTAACTCTGGTGTTCATAACTTTCCCTAAGGTTCTGCTGTACCTTAAATACTTTCCTAAAGTTATTTTCAATGTTAGCAATTGACACAGATATGTTACCTGATCACAAATGGAAAAGGACATGGGACTCTATAAAGGTGTGGTCCACCCAATGAAAAACAATTGAAGAGCCTGCCCCGAGTCTCCTTATTCACTGGAGAAGTTGAAAGGGTCTTTGCCCCAAGCCCCCTTGCTTCCTGGACAGGCCAGGGAAGGGGGAGACTCCCCCATACATGCCCTATCCCAGGGGTCTCACACAGTTATTTGCTGTGGCCCGCCAAGCTCCCCATGCACCCCCCCATGCACCCTCTCAGGGTGGAGTGGGGAGTGGGAGCGGGGACAGCGGGGTAGGGGCTTTTGTGTCTTTACATAGAGAGGTGTCAGTGATGCAGCCCTCGGGCCAACGTACTAGTCCTGATGTGGCCTTCGTGGTGATTTGAGTTTGAGATCACTGCCCCATCCCAAATCTCCGCACACGGCCTGCCCTGACACTCCTCACTTTTTCCAGGCGGGGGAGAGAGTTCTTCAGGGTGAACACGAAGTCGTGTTGGGGGAGAGGACTTCCTGGGAGGGCCAGTGGGTCTCTCCCTCTCCTGGATGTCGGGGGGGGGGGGGGCGGGGCTCTCCCGCTCCTTAGGGGGTTGTCTCTGGGGTCAACGGTTGGGGGAGAGTCCCCCAGGCTGGTTTGGGGGAGGGCTCAATATTTGGAGATCTCTTCCCCTGCCGGCGGGGGCGGGGACGGACGGACGAGGGGTGTCTCAGGAGTTAGGGGCCTCCCCCACCCCGGTCAGGGGCTGAACAGCCGCCCTCCCCGGGGGGGGTCTCTCCGCGCGGGCTATGCCCCAGCGCTGGGGCGGGGCGCGTTCTCCCAGCTCCCCCCACCGGGCCTGGGCAGGGAGCTTCGGGCCCGGCACAGACTCAGCCTGGCACGCGGCCGCTTTTCCAAGAAGCTTGAGCCGCGCGCGCTGCCGTCCGGGCCCCGCCAGCCGAGCCCAGGAGGTGAGGGCGGCGCGCCCCGGCTCCGTCGGTCCCGGGCACTCCCGCAGCGGGTCGGAGCAGGCCGGCTTCCTCGCCTGCACCCTGCCATGTCCGCCCTCGCCAAGGCCTCCGGCGCCCTCAAGTCGGTGGACTATGAAGTGTTTGGCCGGGTGCAGGGTAAGTGCGGGGGGCGGGCGGAGTGCACGCTGCGGCTGGGTGCGCATGCGCGAAGCTCCCGGGCCGGTCACTGCGCCAATGCACTTGGTTGGCTGGGTCCTCGGGCCCTGCAGCAGGGAGCCCGGGGAGCGGGGGCTGGGTAGGGGGCCCCGCTCTTCCCGCCCTCCCCCATGAGAGCGAGAGGGAGCGGGGGGTTCGGCCCCTAGTCTTTTCCTAGTGACGGGCAGGAGTGGCCTCAGCTGGGCAAACGTGTTAAAGTTCAGCACGCGTCTGAGGTCTGACTGAGGTCAATGTGTAAAACAAAGGGCTTGTAAAGGTCCTGTTTGTGCTCGTTAAACGTGCATTATCGCTTGGTGCGTCTAGGCAGTAATCTTGCCCCTCCCATCCATATAATTTTTCCAGAGGGTTGCATAAATGGGAGGTGACTCTGGGAAGGAGTACGGTGGAAAGGGATCTGGGGGGTGGTAGTGGATCCCAAGCTAAATATGAGTCAGGAGTATAACACTGTTGCAAAAAAAGCAAACATCATTCTGGGATGTATTCAGGGCCGTCCTTACCCATACGCAAAGTATGCAGCTGCATAGGGCACCAGGAAATTTGGGGCACCAAATTTCCTGATGCCCTGCACAGCTGCATGCTGCTCCTGCTGCGGCTCTTCCCCAGGGCCGCTGCCCTGCTCCGCCCCATGCCTTCCCAGACCCAGCCCAGCCACCACTCCCCTGAGCTCTGCAGCCGGGCTGGGCCTGCACTCACCTGCAGTGGGAGTGCAGCGACCCGGCCCCAGCCGTGCCACCGGTGAGTGCTGGGGGGTGGTTCCCCCCTGCCCCCCAAGCCAACCCTGCTCCCCCTGCGGAGGCCTGGGGCCCGCCTCCCCACCCACAGAGGCCTGGGGCCAGCCCCCCGCTCCTCCCCCCATGGAGGCCTGCCCCACCCCCATGGATGGCTGAGTAGGGCCGCGGAATTGCTAGGGATAGCCCTGGATGTATTAGCAGGAGTGTTGTAAGCAAGACATGAGAAGTAATTCTTCCGCTCTACTCTGTACTGATTAGGTCTCAGCTGGAGTATTGTGTCTAGTTCTGGGCACCACATTTCAGGAAAGATGTGGACATATTGGAGAAAGGCCAGAGAAGAGCAACAAAAACAATTAAAGGTCTAGAAAACATGACCTTTGAGGGAAAATTGAAAAAAATGGGTTTGTTTAGTGTGGAGAAGAGAAGACTGAGAGGGGACATGATCATAGTTTTCAAGTATGTAAAAGGTTGTTACAAGGAGGAGGAAGAAAATTTTTTTTTCTTAACCTCTGAGGATAGGAGAAGAAACAATGGGCTTAAATTGCATCAAGGGAGGTTTAGGTTGGACATTAGGAAAAACTTCCTAGTTGTCAGAGTGGTTAAGCACTGGAATAAATTGCCTAGGGAATCTCGATCATTGGAGATTTTTAAGAACAGGTTAGACAAACACCTGTCAGGATTGGTCTAGATAATACTTAGTCCTGCCGTGAGTGCAGGGGACTGGACTAGGTGACCTCTCAAGCTCCCTTCCAGTTCTGTGATTGTATAAAAGCTTCAAACTCTCTCCGAGTTTGAAATTTGAGTGCTCGAGTTTCACAGCCATACGCTGCCGAATGAGGAGGCTGGATTGTCTATGAAGAACAGAAGCTTTCCCAGAGATGTGCAATAGTGCCCCTTTACGATGAACTAGGAGGCAATGAAATTTCATGAGCAGTGATGCACCTTGAAAGCATCCTATTGATCGAAGCACCTTTTGCAAATTGTAGCTCCACCAATGGAGTAAAGTTGTTTGGGGAGGGAAAGGCTTTATCCTAAAAGAGGTCCACAGCATTAGTAATTAGGTGAACCGGCATAATAAACAGAAAAGTTTAAAGATGTTAAAAATTGATAATTAGAAGCGCACTGCTTTGAAGTGATTTCAGGAAGCCCATGATATAGTTCTGTGGGGCAGACCTAGCTTATTGTAAGAAATAAGGAAGTAATAAATGAAGTATGGAAATAAGTACAAAATGTACTTAAAATACTATATGGTCAAGTGTAGTCTAAATTATTTTTATTTTCATTCAGTGTGTGTGAAAGTTAAATAAGAGGTTCATAGAATCATAGAATATCAGGGTTGGAAGGGACCTCAAGAGGTCATCTAGTCCAACCCCCTGCTCAAAGCAGGACCAATCCCCAGGTTGATATCTTGAAGCAGATAAACCTAGAATGGAAGTTTCAGTTCTTCTTCAAGTGTGTGCTCATGTCGATTCCATTCCAGGTGTGTGTGTGCCCATTTGCACAGTTGTTGGAAACTTTTGTCTTAGCGTTATCTGTAGGGTTGGCTGTGGTGCCCCCTTGAGTGCCACATTCATGCGTTGGTATATTAGGCGCCGCTGACCCTACACCCTCTTAGTTCCTTATTACTACCCGTGGCAGTTGGTTGGAGTGCCTCGTCTTGCCTTCAGCAAGAGTGTTAGTGGTTCTTCTAGTCCTTTGTTCTACCTAATCTGTACATAGTTAATAGTAGTTAGTCTTTGTAGTGTTAAGTTAGAGTACTTAGTGTCCCGGCTGGGACTTTGTCCCCAAGCGGGGCATGCCCCACTCTCCTGGCTCCAAACTGTGTGCGTCATGCAGCAGGCCAGTGTCCATCAGTGACCCTCCCACAACAGCTGCCTGAAGTGTTTGGGGGAAGCCGATAGAAAGGGCAAGTGTCGCATTTGTAAGAGCTTCCGTCCTCGTACAGAAAAGGAGTGAGGCTTCAGTGTGAAGCACACTGCCGGCACCAGGCTCCACCTGGCACTGTTCCCCCTTGCTGGTGCCGAAGAACCCCCAGAAGAAGACGAGCCCCTCGGCACCGAAGGACAAGGGGGCTGTGGGCAAAGGACCTTTGTTAGGCCATACGCCCACTGTGGGGTTTCACGGGGGTACTGCTGAATTCAGACCCCCCCAGCCTGGTCAGGGATCCACCCCTGACCCCGGGAAGCAGCAAAGGTTGCTGGCCTCTTCCAAGGCCATCAGGGCCCGAAGCAGTCCCGGTGGCCAAAGAGCAAAGCCAGCCGGCTTAGCAGATGCCACACCAGGTGATTGTCTTGGCTATGACCCCAGCACCGAAGGGGAAGCCTATGGGAGTGCAGCCTCACAGGAGGGCGGAGCACCCCTGATCACCAGACCTCAGGTACACATTCCCATCTCTGCGACCTCGGACACTAGCACCATAACGTGGCTCTCCAGCTAGACGACCCAGGTCCCTAATGCGCTCCCCGCCTACTAGGCGCAGGATGCCGGAGCAGCAATGCTGTTCCCCGTACCGCAGGTACGGGCGAACTTCCGGCCACAGGTTGCCTAGGCCCCGGTCACCCTCCCCCAGGCAGTCTCCTAGACGTGGGTCACCGTCCTGGAATGGCCTCTCAGAATCATAGCGCTGGTCCCAGTTGCCCTGGTACTGCTCCTCCAGCAGATGTCACGACTTGCCTTCGCCTCGTAGATCACTGTCCGAAGTCAGCAGGCAAACCTAGGCCTCGACGGCTCCACCGTGATCGCTGGAGGGACAGTGGTGTGGGTCGGGCCAAGAATTTAGCCTTTACCCCAATAAGGGAATTTTTCTTGACGTAGGAGACCATTGCAGCACCGACCACAATGCCATTGCAGCAGGGGCAGTGGCCTACCCAGTGGCCATACTGGAACCCATGGGGAGTGCCAGTTATGCCGGTCACGTATTCCCAGCCCTCCCTGGCTGCCTCGGATAAGCCAGCCATGGCACCGCTGGCGCCACAGTCAGAACACGGTACCGAGCCAGATGCGGCACCAGCGCACCAGACCCCAGCACCAAAGGAGCCTTCCCCGGACAAGGAGGGGGAACATGCTCTTCCTCAAGCAGGACAGTCCTCATCATCATCCCCTGATGAGGCGATGGCTGGGCCTTCCCACTCCAGTGGTCCCCCGGATGACTTTAAGGAGCATTAGGCCCTCCTTAACGGATGGCTGAAAACTTAAAGCTCCAGGTCAAGGAGGTCAAGGAGGAAGCCGACGACCTCTTCAATGTCATTTTGGCCACCACTCCTGCTCGGATCGCATTGCCCCTCCAACTGGGGGGTCCTTAAAATTGCCAAGTCACTGTGGCAAACCCCCTCTTCTATTCTGCGACCTCTAGTAAGGTGGAAAAGAAATACTATGTCTTGCAAGGGGATTTGAATGTCTCTATACACATCCCTTGCAGCATCACTTGTTGTGTCTGCAGTGAACGAAAGGCACAAACAGGGTCAAGTTAGCCGCACACCGAAGAACAAAGAGGCCAAAAGACTTGATTTGTTTGGCAGAAAAGTTTATTCGATGGCTCGCCTACAATTCAGGGTCTCTAATCACCAGGCCCTGCTGGGACGCTATAATTTCAATCTGTGGGACTTCCTGAATAAATTCAAAGAGGCCCTCCCACAAGATCATGCCCAGGAGTTTGCTGCGTTGGTGGACAAAGGCACGTTGGTCGCCGGGGGAGGGGAGGTCCTGCAAATGGCCTGGGACACTACGGACTCGACAGCCAGGGTGGTCACATTTGCAGTGGCCACGAGATGCAGCAGTCTCCTGGGCTGTCCCAAGAGATGCAGGCCATGATCCAAGACCTCCCTTTCGAGGGTACCGGGGTCTTCTCCAAGCTCACAGACTCAAGGCTCCATGGCCTTGAAGACTCCCGAGCCCCTCCATTCCCTGGGCCTTCGTACCCCGCAACAGTCTAGGAAGCCTTTCTGTCCTCTGCCTCCTCTCCATCAGCAGTCCAGGTCCTGAGGAACTCCAAGAGCAGGCTCCTACAGGAGAAAGGATAAAGACAAGGGGCATAAGAAGCGATACTTGTCAGCTTCCTGCTTGGCTGCACAACCTGACCATCCCTGAGGCCAGGGAGGCTAAAAACAGTAGTTTTGAGGGTGCTCCTGAGCCAATCTGATGGATCCATCCCTCCCCTTCCTCAACTGCCGCCGCC